TTTTACGGTACATACTATTTTTTGCTACGACATTAAAATATTCTAAACATTTACAATGGTTTACAACAGTAAAATAAATTACCATTTAGATGAGCACATTTATTGGGTTTTTCAATGTCTGCATCTGAGAGATTTCTGAAGGACCCCTTTTCTGCAATTTGCCACTGCAGAAGAACAAACAATGGAAGCCAGTAATGAGCTGTGCCTGCTGGCAATATTGAGTGCTTTAAATCCCTATGTGACCCCTAAGTACACAGTTTCCTAATCTGGATCATAAAAATCCCTCTTCCTTCAAACTGTTTTCATGTTGGATGTAGAAGATGCTTCTTCCTAGCCTTCAGTATTGAGAAGAAGGTACTATACTGTAGATGTGGCTTCTATACATTTTGTATAATAGGTGCTACCATTTTTGATACCTGTCTTTTTTTCAGTAATAGCACTAAAGCAATAGCTTCTGCATTAGATTTGACAGTTTAATTATATCTATTTCCAATGCAACCTTAAAAGATCATCATGAAATCCATTAACATTTATATTGGTCTTGGTATCACAAAAGTTTTATGTGCTATGCTCCTTTTCTTTTTGTGGAAAGAATGGAAAGAAATGATCATTTTAATGTACAGTTTTTTTAAACAAAATATAAGAGAACGCAGTAGATAATTTATTTATTTCTCAGTAGTTCTTTTTCTGTTTTCAAATGTTGTCATGTTTTTCTCAGTGGTCCTTACAGTGTATCAGTATACAACGGTACTGTATATCCAGCTTTACCTATTATAAAATATTTAGAATACTGGCTTGTGCCCTGTTTTGGTACATATTTTACTGAAGTTAAAACAAAACAGTGTCCATACTGGAGCCACAGTGGGTCTAATATCATCCTGCTTTTTGTAACACCTTCTGGTCGGGACACTGGTGAATTCTAGTGATTGCTTCCTCAGCAGTGTAAGTGCCCACTTACTGTACAGTATACTCTACAGCTGAGTGCACTGCAGCAAATGGGGCAAGGCTGAGTCTAAAGGCTTACCCACTATGCTACACTATGCTAGTTCACGCTGCAAAAAATGAACTATTTTTTTAGAAAAAACTATATTTAATAAAAATATGAAGAAATACTTGCCAATTTCCTTTTTGCCTTAAGCATAAGAAGTGCCAGGAGCACAAGATTTTAATTGGTTTCTGCCTCTACTTCCTGGGAGGTGAACCCCTTTTTACATGACAATGCCCACAGTCGCAGAAACTCATGTATGACGGCTGTAATGCTCTACAGTACCTTAATTACTGTTGTGGGAGTAAGTTGTCCTTAGAAATGCTGAAGATTCATTTACATTTTTTTTAACCTGAAATTAATTAATAATGTTTGACAAGACAGAGTGTATCACTTAGATTAAAGTGATTGCCAGATATATTTTTGACTTGTCCAAATGAGAGTAACTGTTTCAGTTTAAAATTATGTTCGGCACTAGTCCAAAAACCCATACTTGAATATACAACTTGGGACACTGGGGAACCATGGCCACTTTTACATTAGTGGATTCTCAGGAAATGGACACACAAACTACAAAGAGGTATGAAACAGTGCTTGTTTGCCACCAACAATGCCACTTTAACTCCCTCATTACACTTCAGTTGACTTACTGCCCAAATACTGTAGGTCAGTTGATGATGCCACATCTTTAGCGATACATACAGTACTGCCCTAGAACATTCGGTTGACAGTTTGGGCACCTATGTAAGGATATTTGTTTATAGATTACTGCTTGGCCTTTAACACAATTGTTCCTGCTGAACTTGTCCCAAAACTCAGGGATCCTGGCTTTCGCAACTCTACCTGTAACTGGATACTGGAGATCCTGAAAGGCAAACCTCTTCTCTATAGTGATCCTAAATACTGGAGCTCTCCAAGGCTGCTTTCTCAGTCCTTTCTCAGTCCTAGGCTGTACTCATTATTCACGTACAACTGCTGCCACTTACAGTAGCAACCACATTATTATGTTTGCAGTTGACAACGATTATCAGGGTGATCAGTGACAACGATGAGTCCGCATACAGGAGTGAGGCTTGACAATAGATGGTGCCTTGACAATAATCTGGCCCTGAATATCAACAAGTCAAAAGAACTCATTCTGGACTAAAGGAGACCCAGAGGGAGTCACACCCCAATCAGCATTGATGGCACAGAAGTGAAAACTGTCAGCCGTTTCAGGTTCCTTGGTCTACAGATCTCCGCTGTCTTGGCTTGAACTCGCAACACTGTAGCCTTTCTGAAAAAGGCACAACAGCACCTGCACTTTCTGTAGTGCTTAAAGAAATGCAGTATGGGGAAGCAGCTACTCATGAACCTTTACCTCAGCACTATAGAAAGTATCCTAACTACTTGTATCAATGTGAGTTACAGCAATACCATCATACATGACAAAGACGCACTACAAGGGATTGTAGCAATGGCTTAGAGGATTTTAGGATGTGATTTACAGTACCATCAATCGATGAGATTCACAACATCCACTAACACAATAAAGCCCAGTTCATCATACAGGATCCCAACCATCCCATCAAATTGTTCTTCCCTCTGTGCTCTGGTACCACTAGGGTTAAGAACAGCTTGTACCCTTATGCAGTATGGATCCTTAAAAGCTACTGTAACTGCAATGCCTCAGACTCAATGCACGTCTGTACTATGCACATTTTGCAGCGTCTATCGTGTTTCTTTTCAGTACTGCATATTCATTGTTCTGTTGTCATTTATTATGTTTGGAATGTGCTGTCTACATTGTATGGTGCTATCTGCTATACTGTGTATGCCCAAGAGATCAACCTGGATAAGAATTCCAATGTACTGTACATGTACATATGGCAATAAACTCTACTACTCTCCCTGTGTGTTGTGAAGTTCAAGGGTTCTTCTGTTTGATACAGTATGTTCAGTGGAAAAAAGCATTCTGTATACAGTATACAGTATGACTTGACGGTGTTGCATATTATATATAGTATCTAATAAGCAAGAAAAACACACTTCTGTACATTCTGAGTCAAAATGGAGTTTAGATGGGACAGTGTGAGAGGGACAACCAATCTTAACACTTGGTGAAGTAAAAAGTGCAACAGTATGGTGAAATCAGAATTGGAACCTTGTAGCTTCATCTTGCCAGATCTCAGAAGCCAAGAAATGCTGAACTAAGTACTGGGATGGGGACTTCAACGGAAAACAAGGTGGCTGCTTGTTGGTGGAACAGTCAGCAAAGTCTCGGAAACTTCTAAACCCTGAACATCAGTACAGTGCTTGGGGATGCTGTACTGTATGTGGGGTCGTCCTTCACGAAATGTTAAACACAGCAGTGTTCTAATTAAATTTCATTCTGGGTTTGTACAGTCTACCCTTCTTAAAGTTCTCCTGATCTCCACTGATTTTTTCTTACTTCTCGGCTGCTGTATGTCACTCAGATAGGTGCTGCACATCTGTAATGGACAATCTGGGTCCCCTTCTATATGTTAATGCTAAAATAATTTTCATATAAATAATAATAGGTCAATAATCACAAATAAATAATAGTATAAATTACTGTTATTATTAAACTCCTGATTTTCTGGTATTCATTTATTTGCATACTTCTCAGATCACACTTGCAGTAGCCCCTTTGACTCATTCTGCTTATAGGTCCAGTAACTTTGTCCTCCTCGTATTAGTATGTTAATACTAATAATGAACAGAATCATGCTAAGAAGTAATCATAAAGATTGCTAAGATCGCACAAAATGTACATTTCTTTTTTGTGTGGAAGAAACATAGGTTTACCTGTGGCATATGAAGACATTTATGAAGCACGATAATTCTGAAACTGAATTCTGAATAAAGTATTCCCTTTTATTTATATGTAATGAAGAAATCAAGAGCTGCTATCAATTAAAAACCTGCCATTCCAATTTTTAGCCACACGTGCCAGCTCCTGATCTCCAGAGCCCAGATAAATGCCAAATCTGTGAAACTAAAGTTTCATTCCCTGGTTAAAGGAGATATTTTTGAGAGAAATCCAGGAGAGAAGTTCTCTAACTAGCTCATTCTACACAATGGGATTGTTAGAATAACTTTTTTTTTATCTTTACAAGCTACATCATAGAATATCACTGTGAATAACTGTAATTGAAATGCCATGATATACATTCATCTCCATACACTGAGAGATTATCCTTGGCAACCAATGTGAAGAATATGAAGAATTCAGAAGTTCTGCATCATAAAGTTACTTTCATTTCAGCTTTGCTGAATTCTGTGGTAAAAAGGATATGTTCTGAAAAAGCGACTTCTCTGTTATCTATTCAATAAAAAAAGATTTATTTATGCATTCAGCCTTTTGCATTGTACATGGAAGTTAATGCTGTTGGAGCCTTGAGACATTGCTAGAGATAATACTATAACAATTGTTGGCTAAACCAGAAAAATAAGAAATAAAATGTATTGATCTTTCAATCATTGTATAATTATTTTATGTTGCCATTCAAATGGATATCTAACTGATGTGCAATGCCTGCATTTTGTTTATAACTTAAACCACCTCCCTAGTGGATCATCAGTTAACTCATTACCTCTTCCAGTTCATTCTGTCTGAACTTGCTGCATTAATAATTCCTTATTATACTGACAAGGCAGGCTGCTTATTATTTTGTAATGGGAGATTGATGAAAATCAGATCAGTACTCTAACAGTAATATTAACGCAACAATGCTGTACTTAACAATACACAGTGAACAAATGAATTTTAGCTGAGGTTTAGTGGTGAGCAAGCTACATTTTAAAGATTTGTAGTTTCATTTAGGAAAATCGTTTTGTGAAGAATTGCGCTTTGAAAATGTGTAAAACATACAGTGGCGCCACTGAGAAATGTATATGTTTTAGAATATCATATCATTAGGCACTGCCAGCTGTAGTGCTCAATAAAGAATGTGCCAGAGCTCGAGGGTAGCTGTGAATCACTATGTCTGAAGTTCAGTTTCTTTGTCCTTAGTGCTGTTGAACTGTTGGATTGCACACCACATGGTTGAGCTGGAACACATCTCAAGAGTCTCATGAAGCATACAGTGAGGTCATCTGGTGAGTTACACTGAACATTTCATAGTGAAGTGTAAACATATAACACAGTCCTGTCATACCAGTGATAAACAGACTATAAATAGTCTTCTCCAGTTTGGTAACAGCCACAGGAATTTCAGCCCACACAGTGATTGAAAATTCAAAATACACCAGCAATTTGGGGATTTCATATGTCTATTTGCTTCAGTAAACAAAGGCACTTCTCATCTTAACATTAACAAACATGCTAATTTGAAGTATTATTGATTTCAATGGTTTCTGACCGTAAATGAAATATACTGTACAGTAAAATATAAGATATCCTTACCTTCGGGTATGGATTTATTTCAGAGTGCAGGAGCCTTCAAAAATCTCTTATTATCTCAGCACAGAACTCAGCTGAAAACAAATACTGTCTTTTTGCCAGGTCATCAGATATCATGTTTTAATTAATAAGATACTCTTCTCTGTTTTGTTGTTGGTTTTCAAGGCACTGCTCAAACCTACAGTATAGTAATGTTCACTCTCTCACATTTCTAACTCATGCTTAGAAATGATCTCATGTGCACCTTGTTGTAGTGTACCAGTTTGAAAGGCCGATGAGCTAGAAAATATTTTTTTTTCTATTTGATTTTCTTGCTTTTCATTCCTAATTAATTCATTTTTCTTTGAAAGTTAACTAGTTTATTAACCATGTCAAAGGCCAAGGTTTTCCTTGTTTCACCACAGAAGGACATTTTATAGAATCGGTACACCTGTGGCTCATTAAACCCCACAGAAGAACCACACGTGTTTCCAAAGGAGGGGTTATTTCCTGAAGACCCTCCCCCTCATGTTGCTGCAGTGCTGTATGGCACCTGTTCCTTTCTTTTTTTTACCCAGAAAGGGACTGGGCCTTTAATTTCTTACTGAACTCCCACCCCTCAGCTGAACCCCTTGGGGAAAGCCCAAGCCTACCATGGGGAAGCCCATGGGCAGTAGGAGTGGACAAAAGTACCAGGAGAGTAACTTTCCCCCTTCTGTGATAGAAAGTCCCCCACTTCTTCTAATGCTCGTCTCTTAGTATCTGTTCTTCATCTGAATACCCTATTGAAAGACCTTATGGAGATGCTGGGCCCTGCTAGCAGGGACCTCTTGCTGTTTTTCCCTCTTAAAGAAGCCAGATGCTACAAAGAGGAATTGTTTAAACTGAGAATAAAACAATCGCAAAGCTTCAGAAGTTCACTTCTGGGCAAGCCTTAGATTTATGAAGTCAAAAGCAACAGAGAAACAAATCTGGACCATTTTGCACACAAAACTATTAAATCGAAATTAGTTTTTAACACGTGTGTAGAACTCAAGTTGCAGTTTAATAGATATTTTCCCTAAACCCATACTTAGTTAATGCAAGGAAAAACCTCTAATTCTAGAAGCCTCCTGGTATGGAAGAAAATCAGTTTAGATCCAAATGTGTGGCATGGTGGCCCAGTGGTTAGCATTGCTGTCTCAAGACACTGGGGCCTTGGGTTCAACTCTGGGCCAGGAGTGCTAGCTATAGTATGTAGAGTTTGTATATCCTCCCCATGTTCATATGGGTTTCTTCCAGGTGTTCCAGATTCTTCCCACAGTCCAAAAACATACTGGAAGGTTAATTGGCTTCTGGGAAAACTGCCCCCAGTGTAAGTGTGTGCTTGGCTGTGTTTTTGTCTGTCTGCCGTGCAATGGACAGGACGCCATTCTGGGGTGTATCCTTCCTTGTTTGTTCCCATGGCTTTCAGTCAGAAAATGGATGGATGGGGACCCAAATGTGTTTTTTTTTAACAAGATGATTTGTCTTTCTATTTTATTATAATAATAACAATTGCTTACACTTATATAGCGCTTTTCTGGACACTCCACTCAAAGCGCTTTACAGGTAATGGGGACTCCCCTCCACCACCACCAATGTGCAGCATCCACCTGGATGATGCGACGGCAGCCATAGTGCGCCAGAACGCTCACCACACATCAGCTATCAGTGGGGAGGAGAGCAGAGTAATGTAGCCAATTGATATATGTGGATTATTAGGAGGCCATGATTGGTAAGGGCCAACGGGAAATTTGGCCAGGACGCCGGGGTTACACCCCTACTCTTTTCGAGAAACGCCCTGGGATTTTATGACCACAGAGAGTCAGGACATCGGTTTTACGTCTCATCCGAAGGACGGCGCCTGTTTACAGTATAGTGTCCCCGTCACTATACTGGGGCATTAGGACCCACATGGACCGCAGGGTGAGTGCCCCCTGCTGGCCCCACTAACACCTCTTCCAGCAGCAACCTTATTGTTGTCTTTTACCTGTACTTTAATTTTCACTAAAAGTCATTGTATATTGGCTTCTGAGCATCCCTGCCTCTAAAAGCATTTTAGAATATAGATTAAATCCTGTATCCCAGAAATTCTTGTTTCAAGTGTGGAATGTGTAGACTTACAGTATCTGTGACTCTTTTTCCCCATGGGGTGGTGCACATGAGTCAGTGCTAGGGAGGTCTGAGTCTGCCTGGCTGCCCTTAGTTCTCCACCCAAAACGAGGGACTGTGCCATGCTGGGAACCCATTTTAATGCTGTCAACGAGAGTTGTACAGTATCTGTTCTCCGTCTGAAGTTGAATCTTCTTTAGAGATTGTGGTGATTGGATGACAGAAAGTGGCAGATGGCACTGCTTTCCCTATTTGTTCACACAAGGATCTTAGTAGTGAGCCTTGATCATACAGTATAAAGTAAATTATAGAAGATTTATAACTTCTGACTGCAGGTGTGAGTGTATTTAAAAATGTGAATTCTGAACTTTTTGAAAAAAGCTTTTTATCTCTTTTACCTACAGATCATCCTAGAATGACTGCATTCCGTTGATGGTTCAGGAAGTTGTAATATTCTTATATTATGTTCTGAATTGTAAATGTACTTGAGACAAGCTGAACATCCTGCATTTTAACCGAGTTTAGGGTTGATGAGCATTTACTGTAAGAAATCCAGTTCAAGTGAACCAACTTTTTAAAGTTATTTTTCTTCCAATAACTTTTCTTAAATATGTACTGTGGCTTCGAACATGAAGAATGTTTTTTGCACTTTAGAAATGCAACATACCACTAGGTGAATCTTTACTGTGACAGTTGTATTATTTGTATGTTCCTTCTTTTTGCCGTTGGCTGGAACTGTGGTAAACAGCAATTCATATTACAAAAATGTTTTTTGTTCAAATGCAGAACAGATATTTTAAAGACCAATAAAGGCTCATTAGTGATGTCTTCCATGGTTTTCAAAATATCCCCAGAAAAATAATATAAAAGGAAAAACAGGATCTTAACAAAACTGGTAATTGCAGTATGGCTCTTAGAAGATCTGGGGCATTTAATTAGTATCACAAAACCTTCTTTTTCTTAAGTGGTAAACGAGAGCCAGAAGGTTAAGCTAGTGCTTTAGAGTCTCACTGATGATATATTGCATGCTTGAGGTATGTTTACATTTTTTGGGTTCACAATTTCTCTGCTGTGTTTTTCTGCTAGAACAGGGTCATGTGTCTTTAAATAGCACCAGATTGGCAAGAAACATCAGATCAGTATAAAGTAATTTCCTTGTGGGGAAAAAAGACAAGAGGCTTAAGGGCAGTCTTGGAATGTATTTAATAAGATACTTCCTTTAGTTTCTATGTTCAAAGTAGCTTTATATTGGGAAACAATACACACATTTTCCGAGTGCATTTCTCAGAAATGTTTTTGATAAATATTAAAATACCCGCTAAGGTCTGTGTCTTTCAGAATTTTTAGAAAGGTTTACATTGTCTGCAGTAAGTCAATACTTTGTTGTTTCATGACATTACCACCTCATCTGTGAAATATAGAGCATCTGTAGCTCCTTTCCTTTGTCACACTTTAACCTTTCTTTTACTTCGGTAAAGGCTTATCTTGCTCTCATCTGTCCATAGAACTTTGTTCAGAGCTTTCCCTGGTGACCTTTGACTTTTAAGCAAATTGTGAAACCTGGGGGACCCAGTGCCAAGGCTTGGGCCCAGACTTGGATTGACCTACCTGAAGTGCATTAATTAGATTATTTTATTGGGGATAAGGGGGTAGGGGGCATGTTGGCAGGCTAACTTTATTAGCAAACATTTGCAGCCTTAAACCTCTGTAGGAGCATCCAAGAGCCATGTATGTAGATAAACTATTTTACAGCAAACTAATTTATTTTAGACTTCTGCCTAAAAATGTACCACTTGCAAAGAACTTTATTTATACAATATATAAAGTGCAGTACAGAAGAACCTAAGCAACCCAAATATACAGTATACTGTATGTGTGTGTAATGCACCTTTCTTACAGTTCTGTACTGTACAGTAGTTTGCCACCACCTGTCTGCCAATAAGAACACTTGTCTCTCTTTGCAGTTTATATTAAAGTGATTTTAGGGTAGTCATTATTTTGGAGAGATCTCTTGACATGACATGGGTTTGTCTTTGATTTGATAGAATGTGGCTCTGCAATACTTAAGTGGTAAGCATTAAAACAAAAAAGAAAGTGTATTTGTTTTTCTTTCCAACAAGGCAAAAATGATGGAGTACAAAGGCTGTCTTTAAACCTGGGTTAACCTATTGTAGGCTTGACAAAGCATCTAACTAACACAAAGCTGCTCTGGAGTATTTTGTCACTTCTAGTAAAAACCCATGAACTGGTATGTTCCACTGGTGCTTAAACAAAAGTGCCAGTTATTAGTTGTCCTTGCTCTTTGTGTAATGATTCACTTACATTAGATTAACAGCGTTCTGTTTGCTCACAGGGAAGGTTTGGCTCCAAAAGCCATATCAACTGCCTTTTATGCTTATTAGTTTTCTTTAAATGGCAGTTGATGTGCAAAACTTCAAGTGGATAATGTAGGTTTAAAGGGTGTTTTTGTAGCTGTGACAGGCTATTTTCACTACTCCTCTAAGGTTAAACAGTCGTAATTCCTTGATCTTTTCTGCTACATTCTTTGCTTCAGTGAGAAGTGAATCGAACAAAAGAACATGAT